CATCCGTCACAAGGAAGGGCTGAGGCTGCATAAAGAGGAACACAGTGGTCCCTTTAGTATCCTTTTACTATGAAAATGGTGGAAAGAGCCAGATCAGTGCCTTCAACCCCTTTGCAGTGGTTTTGGGTGGTTTCAGAAAGGTCATAGAGGAAATTCCCTGTTAGACACACCATCCTCCTTCCCCTTGTAAGAAAATAATGTTGTTATTATCAAAGTTTTGATTTTCTTTTTATTTAACCATGGGAATGAATGGGTGAGATTATTGAGTGCCCTTATTTTTATAAATGCTGTAGTTAGGGTGTAAGGGGCCAGGACTATTCAGTGCTCCAGCAAGGAGAAGGGTAAAGCTGTTGGGAGGATATGAAGGATGATGAAGAGCAGTTCCATATGTTCAGCTTTCTGTGGGTCCATGGCACCAAGCCGTTCTTGCATGTCAGAAACAGGCTCAGCAGTGCTGCCTCAAGCTATTTCAAAGGCTTCTTGGTGCCACTTCCATCCAACCTTTTACCAGAACCACTATTTTGTAACACTATGTTATAGCCCTTCAGGTCTCAAAGACCTCTGTTACCTCGCAGACCACAAGCACTCTGTACACAGACACCTTGGTAACTGCTGGCTGGGGAAACTTCTCCAATTTACACCATGGGTCACTGGCCAAAACAGGGTTTAGTTTGACTTAACCAAGAAAAAGCCCTGAAAGAAGTTGCTAGATTGGGTTCTGCCTTTTCCACCCCAGCCAGTGGTGGATTGTGTCTGAACAGCAGGTAAACATGTTGCCTGTGCAATTGAATTTTGAAGCTTGCACTGTCTTGTGTCAGGTTTTCTGGATGCTTGTGTTTGCACTTCTCCTCCTATGTCGGACTGTAATGATGGTGAACTTGTTTTTAACCACTTTTCTAATTCTTAATTGTTATGAAAATAACTGTATCATGAATTGCCTTGATTGATATAAAACTTTGGAAAACAAAAGGAAGTGTAACCAAGTCCATCTGTACCAAGTATGTGGGGCTGGTGGTTTGGGCATATTTGCGGCTTTTTTCATTTAGACTTGGGTTTATTTAAAGCTTGCAGCCTGCAGCTTTGATGCATGTTCTGAAGAGAGGAGCTGGCAGCCCCTGTGCTCTTCTGTTTGCAGTGGTGGCAGGGGATGAGGATATGGAGGAGACCCGCTGGTGGAGGGTCATGTATTGCCCTCCCTTGTTCCCAACAAAGGGAATAGCTGTGTCCAAGGGCTGGCCTTTAAAAGACCATGCTGAGGTGAATCCCAGTGCTGCATTTACCCCCATGGGTGGGGACCAGACCATCACACCCCTCCTGCTAATATCCACCCAAATGGGCCTATCAACATTGACTCTGGGGGGTTTGCCAGTCCACACTACTCTCAGAAGTCACAAGCTTTGGGACTGTTTGTAAGCACTGAAGAAGAGCCTGCTTTTGGCTTCCCTTGGGCACTCCAGAAGGTTCATCTGGGCCCTGGCTGTCCCCACAGACCCAGCTGTCTCCCTTTCCAGATGATGCTGGTGACTGGGAGGGGATGAGGTGGATATTTGTGGCTATGGGAGTCCAAAATGGAGCACGTGAAACTCATTTAGGAGCCTGTCCTGCCCCATGCCACCCCCTTTCCCCCACTCAGTGTTTTTCTAGCCCTTTCCTTTTCTGTTGCTGTACAAACCACTGCCTGCCTTGTGCCATCTAGGCTGGATTTGGTATCTCAGAGGTCTTTTCCAGCCTCAATAATTCTGTGATTCTGTGATCACTAGCCCTGGCCTACACACACAGCTTAGCTTAGGGGACAAGAAGGACATTGATTTTCTACTTTTTCAATAAAGGGTGTTTTCCCAATGTTTTGACTTTTCCCTTGGCTGCGGGTGGCATCCATACACTTGGCTGATGCTCACCTTGGAGCAGGGGGTGAAGCTGGTGCTGGCTTGAGATGTGGAGGCAGGTTGGCAGCTTACAGCACCTGCAGCCTCACAGCAAATCCTCAGTAAAGCAGGAATCCTCCTTGGAATCTTTGGATTTGTGGTTTGAGTTTGGTTTGCATCCTTCCAAAAAGCTGGCACAGGGAGGGTGCATGAAGCTTACCAGGGATTTGGGGAGAGAGAGCAGGAGCTGCTCTGTGCTGAGTCCCAGCTAAGTGGCAGTGCTTGAATACATGCTCATAGCTGGTTTGGTGCAGGGAGAATTATTAATGGAAAGCACAGACCTACAGCAAAAGCCCAATTCATTTCAAACCAGATTTCAAGAAGTTGCATGTGGCTCACAGCAGCAGGGCTGCTGACCCACATGGTCTTGGTCAGGAGTGTGTCCTGCTCAAAATCACAGCTTTTACTAAAAGTAAGAAGAAAAACAAACAAAACAAACACATCAGGCAGACAGGCAGAGCACAGGACTGGGAAGGACTGAGGTGAAAGGACAGACTGACAGCAGCAGAGGCACTTTGGGCACATGGCCAGGAAAAAAACAACTTCAATGGCAGTTCATCCCAAGTCAAGCAGGAGCTGCCAGCCTGCAGGTTCCTCACTGCAAGAAAGCCATAAAGATGGCCTGGGCTGACCCAAAATCCCAGAAACCACGTAGAAAAAGGCAGGGATTTTTACTTATTAATTTTTGCCAGTAGGGCCAGGTGGTTTTTAGCTTAGTGATCATCAGAGATCAAGGGCAACAAAGTTCCTACCCCACCCCAGGAAAAAAAGGCAGAATGGTGTGAGCAATGGGCTGGGGTAGAGTCCCAGGTCACCAGAACATCCAGCAAACTCATCTTGCTCAGCACTGTGAGCACAAAAAAGCAGACCTGACTGAAGCTTAGTGAGACAAGAATGATGTCGCTCTGGCAGCGTGTGGCCTCAGCACGGCAGGAAGGTGCAAGAGGCAGCCCTGGTGCCACGTTCTTGCAGGACTGCTGGGGCAGCAGGGAAAGGCACAGGGGGAAAGATTAGAAAGGGGTGGGGATTTAGGGAAAAGATTTCCACAACCAAATGTGACCAGGCAGCTCCTGTCATCTCCGGAGTTTGTGGGGAGCCTGCGTGGTGCTGCTTCTTGGGATGCAGGCAGGCAGCAGAGCCCATGCGGAGCACACTGATGACAGGAGCAGAGGAGGGTGTGAGGTGGCTGAAGCACAGCTCTCGCACCTCTCCCCACAACCAAGGCCACCAGCTTTTTAGAAAGACCCATTTTGTTACTGCCACAGTAGCTAAAGCTTTGCTGAGGCCCCCCTGGGACCTTCCGATTGCCCTGATCCCAGCTGTCAAGGACCCCTTGGGGTTTCAAAGCAGCAATTGAAATAAAAACATTTAGAAACTCTTTCTCATCCTCGGGGGAGGCACATCAGTGGAAAACACTGTTCTGGAGTGGGAAAAAGTACATGGTAAGGACTCAGAGATGGTCTGTTAACCCTGAACACTGCCAGACTGAGCACTGCTTTCCCTTTCACTTCCTTACATGAAAGAGGGGTTTCCGTGCCCATTGCCACACCAGTAATAGCATTACAGAATCACAGAGTGGTCTGGGTTGGGAGGGACCTTAGACATCATCTGGTTCCAACCCCTCTGCCCTGTCATGGAAAATGCAAGCTCCCCTTGGAGCATCAGCATTCATCTGAAATGCAGGCTGAAAACTGGGTGCCTTCCTCTTGAGACTAATCAGACTGCTTTTTGTACAAAAAAAAAAAAAAATACTCTGCTGCATCTGTCTGCTTCACCAAGTAAGTGAATTTTACTGTTAAACAACTTCATCAGTGACATGGACAGTGGGATCGAGTGCACGCTCAGCAAGATTGCCAGTGACACCAAGGCATGTGGTGTGGATAACACGCTGGAGGGAAGGGAGGCCATCCAGAGGGACCTTGGCAGATTTTAGAGGTGGGTCTGGGGCAATTTCGTCAAGTTCAACAAGGCCAAGTGCAAGATTCTACACCTGAGTCAGGGCACTCCCACGCACAAGTACAAGTTGGGTGGAGAATGGATTGAGAGCAGCCCTGAGGAAAAGGTCTTGGGGGTGTTGGTTGATGAGAAGCTCCCCATGAGGTGGCAAGGTGCACCTGCAGCCCAGAAGGTCATCGTGTCCTGGGCTGCATCCAAACAAGTGTGGTCAGCAGGTTGAGGGAGGAGATTCTCCCCCTCTTCTCTCTGCTCTTGTGAGATCCCCCTGCAGTGCTGTGTCCAGTTCTGGAGCCCCCAACACAAGAAGGACACAGAACTCCTGGAGTGAGTCCAGAGGAGGTCCAAGAAGATGATCAGAGGGCTGGAGCAGCTCTGCTATGGATACAGGCTGAGAGATTTGGGACTCTTCATCCTGGACAAGAAGAGGCTCTGGGGAGACCTTATAGTGGTCTTCCAGTATCTGAATGCTATATGAAAGGTGGAGAGGGACTTTTTACAAGGGCATGTAGTTGTAGGGTGAGGCAGAACAGTTTTGACCTGAAAGAAGTTATATTAAGGTTGGATATTAGGAAGAAATTCTTTCCTGTGAAGGTGGTGAGACACTGGCCCAGGTTGCCCAGAGAAGCTGTGGCTGTCCCATCACCAGAAGTGTTCAAGGAGAGATGTGATGGGGCTTGGAGCAGCCTGGCCTAGTGGGAGGTGCCCCTGCCCATATCAGGGGAGTTGGAATGTCACAGTCACTTCCAACCTAAAGCATTCTGTGATTCTATGTTCTATGAACTTCTAAATACCTCGGGGGATCAGATGTGAAAGCAGGCAACAAAGGAGACCATTTAACCTCCTTTACAAACCAGGAGCACACATGGCATTTCTGACTGTGGAAAGATTACAAGCAGAGACTGTTTCTATATATCATAGTGCAACAACAAACACAGCATCCCAAATATTTTAATACCTAAGATATTCTACAGCACCTGCCAAACAAAACTGGGGGCAGAGTCTTTTATTCAGATTTCACACTGAGCTATATCTACTTTATAAACTAATACAATTACTAGGCCATTGAAGACATCAGTTCATTAATCCCTGAGACCATTGCACAACTGGTGGAGGCCGCTGTTAGGAAACCCAGAGGAAATAGGCAACTTCATCCAGGTCGACGGGATAGTCCGTGAGCAGCACTGGGGTCTTCTCAAACAACTCCCCCTTGTAGCTGCGCCACTTGCCCGCTGGCAGGTAGACATCACGCTCCTGCTTGCCCATCTCCAGCACAGGGGCCACCATGAGGGTGTCCCCAATGAGGAACTGGGAGTCGATCCTGTGAGCAGCCTCGTCACGGGGCGAGATCCACCAGATGGGACGGATGATGGGGTCACCCGTGTAGGTGACCTCCCCGGCCAGCTCCAGCAGGAGCGGGGCCACCAGCGACTCGTGAAGCTCTGTGAACTTCTGCGCAATCTCCACCACCTCCTTGTCGTAGAGCCAGGGTGGGATGGAGAACTGCATGGAGGGCATGAAGGCAGACAGCTCCAACCACCGCACATACAGCTCCCGGTCAGGGATCTCCACTGCCCCATCTGTCTTGTTGGGAAGAAAGTTTCCTGCAATCATATCCGGAAGCACAAAAGGGTACCCCAGCATGCTGATGGTGAGCACAGTGGGAATGAGGGACTTGAGGCCGAGCTCGTAGCCCCAGACAGAGTCGCGGTCAATGATGCGGAAGAAGCAGGAGATGTTCTGGGACTGGTAGCCCACCCGCACCTCGGCCAGCTCATAGAAGGGAATGGCCATCTCCGTGTAGCGCCGCGACCAGATGCTGGGGTCCGAGAGCGGGCGGAAGGTGCTGAACTGCTTGGGCAGGTAGCTGGTCTCCCCCGCATCGAACTTGAAAGAGGAGATGCCGTATTTGTGCCGCAGCTGGCGCAGGTGGCTCTGGAACCAGTCACGGGCTGCAGGGTTGGTGAAGTCCAGGATGGCCCCGATGCCGTTCCACCACTCCACCATGGCTGGCAGCCGCCCAGATGGCTCCTTGATGAACAGCTGCCGCTCGATGCCCACACCAAAATTGGAGGAATTGTAGTTTATGAAAGGGTGAGTCCATAGTGTGACTTTAAACCCGTCCTCCCTTAGTTTTGCAAACATCTCTGTCACGTTGGGGAACTTGACCGGATCAAAGTCAAAATCCCCATAGGTCTGTGTGTACATGTCATCAATTTCAATGTGGCTGCAGTTAAAACCATGTCTCTTAACGTTTCTTGCAAAATCCAGAACTTTATCCTGGTCAATATCTTTTTTGTAGAGTGCCCAGGTGGACCAGATGGGGTATCGGAAGGCGTTCTCAGCAGGGATCTTGGAGGGCTTGTTGAAGTACCTGCGCACCATGTACTTGTGGATGGAGGTGATGTCGGAGCCCACGCAGACGCGGTAGCTGAGCTCGGGGAAGGGCTGCTGCCCCGGAGGGGGCTTGTAGGGAGAGTCCTTGTAGCGCGCCTGGAAGAAGAGGGCGCGCTGGGTGGCGTTGAAGCCCAGGTGGAAGGGCACGGAGTCATTGATCTTGATGGCCGCCGCCTTGGAGGAGAGCCAGTAGCGCTCCAGGATGCCGCCAAAGCTGTTGCGGAAGGAGTAGACGTCGCTCGTCACGTAGGGCACGGGCTCCTGGTAGCCGGCCAGGCGGATGGGCCAGTGCTGGGTGCTCATCTCCCATGCCCCGTACCAGTGGGGCCCGACCGCGTGCAGCTCAGAATCTCGCCCTCCTTGGAGCACGACTCCAGGTCCAGGCGGCCCGAGCGGAAGGCCAGGCGGAAGACCACCTCCCCGGGCTGGTTCCTGATGACAAAGCCGTCTGCCCGCAGGTCCATCAGCTCCGTCTTGAGCCGCTCCGCCTTCCGCAGGGACACCGTGTAGTAGCACCAGGCCACCACGGCGGCAATGAAGAGGATGAGGCCCAGCAAGATGGCCCCGAGCATGGGCCTCAGCTCCTTGGAGGGCTTCTGCTTCACTGGCATGACATTTTTGAGCAAATGCATTTTCTCAGCATCCCTCTTTTGAGCGTTTCCATGTTTTCCTGTTCGGCGGGTAACCAGTCTCTCCATGACTCCTGGTTCTTTACTGCTGATTTTTTTCCAACTGGTGGACAAAAAATCCAAGATGCTGCATGAGGGTGGTCAGAGACTCCTTCCCAAAGCCTGGCTAGTCACACCTGCAATGTTGTTTCATGAAACAGAGGTTTATAAACAGCAGAACAACAAAAATTCAATCTTGCTCCCCTCCTCTGTTTCGCAGCCTGGTCGCTCCCCCGTCTCTGCGGCTCTGCCTGGCTCTGCTCCGTGTGGCAGCAGCCTGCTCTCTGGCAGCTGCACTGAGCTTTTTTGGAGCAGGGCTGTGCCAGGATTCCCGTGACCCTCTCTTGGCTGCAGCCTCTCGGCGTCCTGCAGAGCAAGGCCGAGGGGATAAAAGTCAGGCCAGAGCCTGGAGGAGAATGGGGCGGGGGAAAAGGGGCTGGTACCTGAGCACAGAAGCTGGACATCACAAGCTGATCTGTTTTTACATTAAGAACACACCCTGCAGGATTTTACCACCTGTCCACAATGTCTCAGTGGCAAAGGCAGGAGGAGAAATGTTGCGTTGAAGCAATTCAGCCTCTACCTGATATTTCCTACTACCCCCTGAGGACGAAGCTGAGAAGTGTTGTTTTACCTCCCTGCACTTTGCTCCTCCCCTGAGCTGCATGGGGACATGGGGACACATTCTTTTTATAGCCAGAGCTGCCCTGCTCCAGTGTAGCTGGGCAGAGTCCTTCAGCTGCCTTCCCTGCTGCCAGTTCTGGAGATGTCACCTCAGGACAGCTACTCTTGCCTGGGCATGGGAAAAAGAGGATGTTTCCTTGCATTCACTTCTCCATTTTTAACTCTAATTCAGTTTCTGTAACTCCCAGGCTTATGCTATGCAAGATACTATAGTGCAGAGTGGGTAGAAGATATTAAAGAACAGAGTTTGAGGATGAAGGTGTTGAACTGAAGCTGTTGCAAGATCATGGAATCATAGAATGGTTAAGGTTGGAAGGGACCTTCAAGATCACAGAACCACAGAACCGTCAAGGTTGGAAAAGACCTTCAAGATCACCAAGTCCAACCGTCCACCCAACAACCCCTAACCACTAAACCATCTCCTGAAACACCACATCTACCCATTTTTTTAACACCTCCAGGGACGGTGCCTCCACCACCTCCCTGGGCAGCTTGTTCCAAGGCCTCATTACTCTTTCTGTGAAGAATTTTTTTTCCTAATATCCAATCTGAACCTCCCCTGTCACCACCTGACCCCATCATCAGGTTCCAACCTCCCTGCCATAAGCAGGGACACCCCACGCTAGACCAGGCTGCACAAAGCCCCATCCAACATCTCCCTCCCTGTAGCTGTTTAAGGCCACAACCTCCCTAGGCAACATATTGCAGCACCTTACTACCCTCATGGTGAAGAATTTCTACTTCTAACCTAAATATCTCCATGTTAAAGTCTCTCCCCTGCTTTTCTGTAGCCCCTTTAGGTACTGGAATGCTGCTAGAAGATCTCCCTGGAGCCTTCTCTTCTACAGGATGAACAACCCCAACTCTCTCAGCTTATGTACCTCCTTAAAACTCTGTTTTGCTGACAAATACACAAGACGATGACACAGATCCTAGCTGCATCAAGCATCACCAAGCTAGCCAGAGCAGTGCATCTTGCAGCATCTGAAAAAGCATCCATCCACTGCCAACACAAACGACAGGCAGGGGAAACTGAGTCAGACTGCATAAGGGAACATGGTCCATGCAGCTGGCTTCCCTGGCCTCATCCTGGGGTCTGTGTCATCTGATGGGATGAAAATTTGCAGGAACAGACTGAGTGGAGAGGAAGAGAGAGAGCCATTTTGCTCACCTGAGCCACGCCAGGCAACACACACTGGGTGTACTCACCCTCATGGCTGTGGTATCAGTATTTGAGTTCCAGAAGTAATAAGCTGCCCAAGGAGCCATTAAAAATACCAGAGGTCACCGTGTTTGGGATCAATTCAGCAGCCTCCCAAACACCCAAAAGCCACTCAGCTAGCTTTTTTGTAGTGTGTTCTCAGGGTGAGCGAGGCTTTGCTGTGAAGAAGAAGCAGAATGGATAAGTGTTCCCAGGCAAGCAGTGGCCAGGGTGGGCGGTGAGAAAAGGGAGGTCACTGCTGCCCCAAAGAGATGGTGCCCCAGGACAGGGACAGTTTTGGGGAGCAGGTTGGGTTACACAGACACTCAGGGCTCTTTGCCAGCCCCAAAACGCTCAGACCTGGCAGTGTCCCCGGTGCTGGCCCAGCTCCTTGTCACAGCTTTGCAGCTCCAGCTCGGGTGGTTTCCAGTGAAACCCTGGTGTTTTTGCAAAACAACCTCTTCGCTTTGAAGATATTTTTATGTGCTGGGTTAGTTCTTAGTTGCTGCCCTTGGATCTTTCCTCATCTTCATCCTTCCTCCTTTAGCCCACCCACCCAGACTGGAGTCAGGACTCTCCTTTAAGATTAGCCCCACTATCCTCCACATTTTAAGAACAAGAAAGGGAAAGGGAGAGAAAAATAACATTTTCAGGACTTCTGTTTTTTTTTTTTCTTTTTTTCCTTTTAAAAACATTAAACATCACATTAACAAACACACAACACAGGCACATCAAAATTTCAAAATCCCTACAAGAATAAAGAATGTGTGGGCAGTTTCCCAGTTTTCTGTGCAGTGATTTCTCTCCCAGACAATTGCTTCAAATCCCTCAGTTTCCCAGGTGCAGAACACCAGTGGCAGAAAGACAGTATGCAAGAGAATCAGGGCTCCTGGACTAAGCTGTCCTATCCCTGAGGCCTTTTGGGTTTCCCTGCCTCCTGTGATGTGATGGGATGCTGCATTGGTCCTCCAGCCCTACCCTCCACAGAGAAGAAGAACTGCCTGGGAAATGTGGTCTATAAGTGGGAAGAGAATCATAGAACTATTCAGGTTGGGAAAGACCCTTGGGATCACCAAGTCCAACCATCATCTCTACTCTACAAAGCTCTGCCCTAAACCATCTCCACCAGAGTAAGCACTGGTGTGTTGGAGACAGACCAGTATGAACTTGGGTTTGCCAGAGAGATCAGGCCAGGGAAAGGGAGTCTCTGAAGCTGCAAACTCCTGCCCTTCAATGCTTTTGTCTCATGAAAGTGTTAAACATCTGCAGACCAAGCCAGCAGCCTGAGCACTGCCAAGGGACACACATAGTCACACTGAGCCTGGATCCAGCCTTTTCCTTCCTCCATCCATGGGGTTATGGTGTGACAGTGTCCCTTCCCATGAATATTTAACAAGTCCTTGCAAAGCCTCTCTGCTCCAGCGAATTCTTAATGAACGCAGGCAAAGTGCAACTGCTTCCCAGCAAGGATGGGCTGGGTGCTCCCAGAATGTCCCAAGAGCAAGATACACCAGGGGCACAGACACTGCTGAGTTATATTTGGACTGGTTTATCAGATGCTGATCTAGTCTGGCTTTATTAGTCCTCCAGGCCTTCCTCCAAAATATTCCAAGTTTCAGAGTGGGCCTTAGCATGCATAGATTAAATATTGACATACCCAGGACCTCAGAAAATGAGCCAGGACTTTAGACCCTCTTAGAGTTAAACACCCTTGGGATCACCAAGTCCAACCATCATCTCTACTCTACAAAGCTCTGCCCTAAACCATCTCCACCAGAGTAAGCACTGGTGTGTTGGAGACAGACCAGTATGAACTTGGGTTTGCCAGAGAGATCAGGCCAGGGAAAGGGAGTCTCTGAAGCTGCAAACTCCTGCCCTTCAATGCTTTTGTCTCATGAAAGTGTTAAACATCTGCAGACCAAGCCAGCAGCCTGAGCACTGCCAAGGGACACACATAGTCACACTGAGCCTGGATCCAGCCTTTTCCTTCCTCCATCCATGGGGTTATGGTGTGACAGTGTCCCTTCCCATGAATATTTAACAAGTCCTTGCAAAGCCTCTCTGCTCCAGCGAATTCTTAATGAACGCAGGCAAAGTGCAACTGCTTCCCAGCAAGGATGGGCTGGGTGCTCCCAGAATGTCCCAAGAGCAAGATACACCAGGGGCACAGACACTGCTGAGTTATATTTGGACTGGTTTATCAGATGCTGATCTAGTCTGGCTTTATTAGTCCTCCAGGCCTTCCTCCAAAATATTCCAAGTTTCAGAGTGGGCCTTAGCATGCATAGATTAAATATTGACATACCCAGGACCTCAGAAAATGAGCCAGGACTTTAGACCCTCTTAGAGTTAAACAGGAGCAAAACAACCATTTCAAGTGATGAAGCACATGTCAGCCAGCATGAAGGGCAGTCACACACCCAAGCCCTTTGTGCACCTACTCTCAGAGCCTTCTTCACACCACATCTGTCCCCAGAAACCCCCTTGATCTCTTGGCACACATGGCACGAGTCTGTCAGGCCTCAGTCCAGGTCTCAGCTAGATGACACTCAAATCCTCAGATTTTTCCAACTTGTCTACCTGCCAGCTGGTGCAGGGCAAGCATCACTCATCAAACAACCCATCGGGAAACAGTTCTCTCTTTAAATAATGAGGTCATTTTCTAGATTTAAACTCCTTTTATAAGAGGTTATCAGACACTTCGGAGTCACTATCAGGTGCTTATAGGGAGAGTATACAACATGTTCTAGCAGAAGGCACCATAGGTAGCTGTAAGTCATGGTCATAAACAAACTATTGCCCTGTCAAACTCTGCAAGAACTGATTAATCATTGACCAAGCCCTTTTAAACTGTTTCAAATGGGACCTTTTTAACAGAAAATACACCCAAAGAAGAAAACAGTTTCCATCAGCTCCCATTTCCCATGTGAGCCTGGCACATGCAGGCATTCTGTGGGGGATTTATTGCTAAAAGGGGCCCAGGGGAGGTTTGCTCACCATTTTTTCTGTATGTACAGATGACGTGAGGGAAGAGGTATCTGCTATCACTGCAGCCAAGGAGGGGGAGTGAGGGAGAGCCAAGGTTATCTCATGAGCTGCCACAGATTAGCTACAAAACCAACACAGCTTAACACAAGAGAGAAGT